TAAAACAGTTTCTCTGCATTTCTCACCCGTGTATCCTCACTAATGTAGCCACAAGTGACCTTTTCTCCTTTTACCCACAATTCACTGGCCTGGGCCCTAAAATCATGATAAAATTCCTGTTATTGTAAAGTTAAACATAAATATTCAAAGTTTTGAGTTAGTGAGCTATTGAGTTTAACTTTCTGTGTGTGTGTGTGTGTGTGTGTGTGTGTGTGTGTGTGTGTGTGTGTGTGTGTGTGTGTGTGTGTGTGTGTATGTGTTTAAGTATACACCTAAATAAATCAGCCTTTTATGCTTATGAAGGCTAAATTTATTTTATTAGATATACAATAAACAAGTAATATTATTAAATGTGTAAAAAAAATTACTAAATGTGTACAAAATTTTGTAATTGATTAAATTTGTAAAAACATGTCACTTATTCTTGTGATGTAAAAATGCCAGCAGAATCATCAGCAACTAAAATTAGTGTCACATGACCCTTCAGAAATTAGCATAATATGTCAATCTGATGCTCAATCATTTTTAATACAGGACTCGTAAATGAATAGAAATCATTAATCATGTCATAAATATTTTTACTGTCACATATGATAAATTTAATGAGTTAGGAATATATATACATCTATATATTTTACATCCTTAATTTTTTTAAAAGAATCTTACTGCCCCAAACTTTTGAACAGTAGTGCATGTTACATTTGACATAATAAAAAGTCATTATATCAATACTTCTAACATTAGAATACTTAAATTAACCAATCATAATCCAGTATTCCAGACAGTATTTATTTCTTAGTAGATGTTGTTACCTGATTCCTGCAAACTCTACTTTCTGTGTCACATATGCACATGTGCTCACCTGAAACAACAAAACAGAGACATCAGGATCAATGTTAGTCAACAAAAAATGAACAAAGATGCAGATTTCTACTTTATCTACTCACTAAGCTCTTCTTTAGTCGCCACATGTCTCCTCGCCCAATATACTGATCTTTAAAGGTGAGCTCCACCAGATCCAAAGTCACCTCCTTTTCAATTTCAATAGAGCATTAAGACATTAGGTGGTAAATATTGTCTCCAACCATTTAATAATTTAATATTTCAGTATGAAATACCTTTGGATCCACAATATTGATGATGACGTCTTGGTAGGCACGCAGCTTGAAAGCCTGAGCCACAGTCTGATCGACACTGATAGTTTCTGTCAGTGGATAAAAGACATTATTCTTAGGAAAGACCAAAATGGTTTAAACTGAAAGTTTACGATAGATTTTTGTTTGTTGTTTGTTTTAGTTTTGGGCAAAGAAGGTTTTATAAAGAGACAAAATCATTAACTGAATCTGTCGTTTAAATATATGATATAATTATTATGATATTAATGGGGATTATTAAATGTCAGTAGTCGCAATGTGCTTTTAATTAGGTACTTTTAATAAAACATACACATTTTGTAAATTTTATCATAAAATTCAAAAGAATAAATGTAATTTTTTTGCACTTTAATATAATGGCACACATCAAGATCAAAGGCATACTAACCAATCATATTTTTCTCTTTTGTTACAAATGGTTACAGCATTAAGCATTAGGAAGGTGTGGTCAGAGATATAGTATTATGAAAACTTATATTGGCCTCACTGGCCATTAGTTTGCTAAAAAAAAAGGAAGCATATTTTTAATTAATATAAGGAGCTAATTACACAGTAATTATATTTCTACCTGTTAGTGATATCTTAATTGCTATTATACGTTTACAAAATGTCAAAATAAAAATATTATTACAGACTTTTTTATGTTTATATATAGAAATGAATCTAATACTTAAATGTTTTAATAAATTACTATGAAAATTGCAATTGGACTACAAAATAAATTTAATTTAATTTTTATATATAGAAAATTGTCAAATTCTATTTAATAAATAAATTGCATAGTTATAATTTATATTGATTAAATGGTGATTAAAAATAATTTTGGTCTGTATTTAAGATTTAAAATAATTAAAAATCTATTAATACTATTAAACAAAAAAATAAAAAAACGTTTTGAGTCAAGTTCATACAGCATTTCCAGCTCTAACCGAGATTGTTTTTCATTTATGATTTAAAATCACTTGTGAAATCAATGTTTGCCAAAAGTTAGTATTAAAAACTAAGCACAGAATTCAAATTCACCTTTCTGCAGGTCCTCTTTCAAACTCTTCACCTGTAGCAACAGAGGACTTAAAAAATACAAAAATATTACTTATAAACACAATTATATCATAATACAAAACACTACCAGTACAAGCAGCATTGGATAAGTATTTCATTACAAATCACACCATTACAATTAGATTTAAACCACTTTTTAAATTACTAGGCTGAAAAGTAACTTAGTTACTCAAAAGGTAATTTAATTACTTGACTAAATACTAAATCCACATAAATCTCAATAAATAGAGAATAAATTTAACTCTTACTTTTTGAAATTTCAGTCAAATGACCTTTAGCTTTGTTTAAAAAACTTTACACATAAAACATAAAAAATATATGTGGCAAAATACAAAACATTTCCAAGTAATTACAACCTATTTCATACATATACTATATTGGAAAAAATTAAAATGAATTATTTCCTAAGTATGTGCAGTTGTTGGACAAATAAAACCTTGCAATAAAAAATTGAGTTAAATACAACTGAGTATTTTCTCTAGTTACTTTGTAATACTAATTACACCTAATTAAAGTTTACTTTCAGGCACTATTTTAAAATAATAAAGCTTTTTCTAATGATTATATAATGAAATTGTATATATTTCTCACCTGTACTCATCATTTGGATGTGCAATTTCGACAATATCCCCCAGTTTAACTTGAGGAAATACTTTAGGGTTCATCATCAGCTCATCATCTATGGTGAAACAGGAATGTTAAAGCCAGTGTCATAAACTGCAAATAATTCAGTAATATTGTTAAACAGTCTCACCACTGCCTCCAAAGCCCTTCTTGTGCACCACAAGCTTGTAGGACTTGTTTGCCTTCATGGTGACCGTCATTTTAGACTTTAGTTGTACAATTACACACTCATTTATCCTTATTTACATGCAGAAAAAAGTCCAGTGCTGTTCAGCAGTTTGCAGAATATCAACATTCCCATGTCCAAAATCTCCCAGTCGACGTGATATGAGTGAACAGAAGTTTTAAAACCCATTTAAAGAGCTTGAAAAAGAAGAAGCACAATCAATCTCTTGACTGCCTGTCATCGTCATCCTCCTGGTTGTTTACAAGTCGCGTGACCCGCTATTTCCATCCCGACTTATGATAATTCTAAGACACAAGTTTATGATGTACAGTGTTAACATTTATTTATACACCGACGGCGAATAATTTAACATATATTTAGCAGAAACAGCACAACATTTGTAATGTTTTCTGAACTAAGTGCACAGTAGCTGGCTACTCGACTTCTTCTTTTCATTGGTAAGAGTTACACAGCGCCGTCTAGAGGATTGGAGACTCACAATCGGACCAGACGCCCTGCTTTGAATAGAACAATGTAAAATTATTTCAAACTTGTTTTTTTTTCGAAATTAATTAATATTTCAAATTAAGTTTATTCAATACACCTACAGCACACGTCTTTGGAGTAAACCGGAAGGGTCCGAAGGAAACCCATGCGAACACAAGGAAAACATGCAAACTCCACACAGAAATGCCAACTGACCCAGCCGGGACTTAAACCAGCAACCTTCTTGCTGTGAGGCGACAGTGCAAATGTAAAGGTGTGAGGTGACAAATCAAATGTACAATATAGTATTTTTATTTTTTCTTATTTCCAATATTATATTAGTAATATTTGAAAAAGTGAGTCAAAAGGTGTTTTGTGCATGAAACTGTATTTTGGATGTTTTTTTTTTTTTTTAAGTGGACTAAGGAAAAAAAAAACTTTATAAAAAAGCCAAAATAATAATAAAATAAATTCTCAAAATTGACAGGTGCATGGAAATATATATATATTTTTTTTTGCCTGCAGTCTCTCGTCTTGAGGACTGATTTCTTAGTTTAAAACTAAGATTTCTTAGTTTTAGGTTATTCATTATTGAGTAAACACTTTTAAAATAATTTTATATACTTTTCATGCTTTAATTATTAATTATACTGTTAGTCATTTGTGCTTTAAAAAATCCTTTCACATAAATAAGTAATCTGAACGAAGTTAAAAATGGTAAAAAAAAAAATAAAAAAACTAAATTAATAATTTTCACACTTACAGTATAATCCTTTATCACACAGAAATGACAAATGATTTGCAGCATAGAGATGCTATCAAATTCACCTTTGAAGTTTGTAAAAGAAAAATACTTCTTTAGACCATTTTGAGGGATGTAAACAAAAACAATGGTCCCAGCACATTTCCTGTTATACATTTCTAATTTCTGTGGCTTCCGAGAATTTAAAAAGAGCCACACATTGATAACTAATGTTATGATAACTGTTTTACCATTTGGTTATAAATGAATTGCTTCTTGTTACAGTCATGGAATAGTTTGATAATCATAACAGGCAGGAAATGTTCATTAGCCAATAACATCACCACATTGAAATTGTCTATAAAAGACTAAGAGAGCCTGCTTATAAGAATCTGTGACTGTTATTGTTAAATAAATTGTTTAAAATGAGTTTAACTGACATGACATACAAATATTAAATGCAAAAATGAAATAGATTTTAATTGAAGTAATTAAATAACTGAAATAAATCAAAATCTAAACAAGAAATTAAAATCTTTATTTATGTAAATTTGCTTTGTAAAATTACAATTAGTGTTCGTGGCTCTTTGACTACATATTTCAATATTTAATTACATTATTCTTGTTAAAATATACCTGGCAACATTTTTGGTGTATAAGCTAAAATAATTAATTAAACATGCATAAAAATACATACTTAAAAACAGAACCCATGCTTTCCATACAAATATAGACAATTGGTTAATAAAAACTACATAAACTTTGCTTAATTATAATGCATTTTTATTCAATCTGCCAAAATAAAAAGTATAAAAGATCGCAATATAACATATAATCATTAAAAGGCAGTTTATGCTGCAGTACAAAATACTGGCAATAATACTACAGTATGAACCATACTGATATCAGTCCCTTATTGTTAGGCGATTCCTCACAGAGAGGACATTTGTGATGCACCAACTGCTCGTCAGTTTTGTCACAGAAAAACATTTTTTTCTTTTTCTAATGTGTTAAACATTTATTCTTTTCTTCAATACAACAAGTTTCCTCATGAACCATAGAGCATCAGCAACAGCTCTTCTTCTTTGGCTTCTCCTGCGTGACTTCCAGTGTTTTATCATCTGAAATAACAGAAACCACAATAACTAACTCCAGACAACCCAATATTATCCTCATCATGTCAGATTTATGATGTTTCTCTTACTGAGAATACTGCCATCTCCGATCTGAGTGCTGCTGGTGGTCCCAGACTCCAGGTCCTTCATGACAGCATCTTCAAAAGCCAGAGCAGCCACACGGAAGAAAAACTCTTGGACGTTTTCACCTTCAAAAAAAAAAGCAACAGTTACATGTACAACTTTGTATAAGCCACTATGATATGATATTTATACCAAAGTCCCTTTAAGGCAAGTCATTTCACTCGGCAGCCATCTTTGGAAGCCTCTCAGGCAATATGCTCGGGCATTCTGTTTGAATGAGGAAACATCAAATTCTCCAAAAACTACCTGCCAAGCTTACGGTTAAATTTCATGTTAGGAAACAACAATAAAATTAATTAACTGTCTCACGTTTCATTTCTAAAGGTTTGAATCACACAAAATTTGCGGAAATTTACGTCTTTTCCCAGCCCCTCCTATGAAGGCTCGTCAGGTCTATATCGATCGATGAATAGTTCTTGCACTTAGAAGGCGGGTCTTCCTTACCATATTGGCCCTTACACTTTTTCCGATTCAAAAATACGAGTGACACATCTTGTGTATTTTATAGACGAACTACCAACCTACGTCACACGGGTCCCCGGTTGAAAAAAGAGACCGGTTGCAATAGCAAACATGTCGTGTTGTGCAGTAGGATGCCAAATTCGAGTCTAAAAATAGAAAACTTAACTTTTACCGTACACCACACTGCTTTTAGTGGCAACCGCAGATGTCTTCGGCTAAAAGGAAGCTGAATGAAGTGACGACCTAATTAAAAATGCTCGACTCTACAGTTCTCATTTCATATCAGGTAAGTTCACGCTATGCTGAATCATGCACGTCACTCATTTTTGATTGCAGCAATGATTTCAGCAAAAACAGTTATGGTTAATTTAACTGCGAACACTGAGTGCTAAGTTATTAAGGTAAAGTTGGCTTCATATTCACACATTCATTCAGTGACAACTTGTGACACACTCCCTATATTGTTCACCACGGCACTTTAAATATTCGGTCTGAAATAACCTGAAAGTGTGCAACTTTTCATTTTCTGTCAGTTTTAAAACTGAATAGGTCTAATCCAATTCAATGATCAATGCGAAGCTAAGTATAAAGTTTAATTTTAAAAGTTTGAGATTGGCTGAATGGATTTCAAAAATTGTAAAAGTCAACTGTTTAAGGCCGAACTCACACTATGTACAGTTGCCTCAAACTGGGCCAAAGCACGCTTGTCGCCCTCCTGTCTCCCACGACGGCCCGCACTCACACTACAATCGGGCCTGGGCACGCTTACGTCATCGATGCTGCGCTGTGCAGTAGAGAAGTGCTCTCGCTCAGCACAGAGAAGATTGCTCTAGTTAAATCATTTCAGTCGTTTGTTATGCAGTGACATGCAGTCAAATATTTCGCCAAACAGTCCTTAGGGATGCGGTGACACGCAGTCAGATATTTCGCCGAACAGATCCGCCACTTTTAGCGCTCATAAACAATCATAAAGCCCTCGTGCTGCAGGAATGAGGAGGTCTGCTAAAGGTGCGCAGCTGTCGTGCAGTGAGGGGTTTGCGTCTTTAATAATCTAGGGCAGTTTGCGTTCATTGAACAGTAAGAATGATTAATAAATCCATATGAAACAGTCCCTTAAAGTCATGTCTCGCTGTCAGTTTCGGGCTTTGGCACGTTTTGCACTCGCATCACAAATGCCCAAGCACTCACATCAAAAACCCAAGTCTACCGCACTCAGGCCCCCCTCCTCCAACCGGGACAGGGCGGCCAAGTAAACCGTGCCTGAGCCCGATTTAGCGCACTCACACTTCTCAAACGATCCGGGAAACGGGCCTGGGCACGGTTCGGATAGCATAGTGTGAGTAGGCCTTAACTCTAGGGTAGCTGTAAAATGAAGAACCTTTTTTTAGAAATAGTTTACAATTTACAAACATTTACAATCATTTGTATCTGATTGTTGGTTGTTGTATTTAAAAAGTGGGTACTAAACTACAGTATATAGTTTACAGCAGTAGGTGAGATTTTAATTGTAATTGTAAGTGAATTTTAAAATAAAAGAAACACTATTATATGTTTTATTCTAGATTCCTATAAAACAGATCTGATCTAACACTAACAATCTGTTTTCTATTTACATTATTTTCCTCAAAAAACTTAAACAAAACTGACCTATATTTATATTTATAGCCCTTCTGTTAAATTTGAATTCTTTTACATTTTCCCGCCAATTTCTGTTTAATGGAAAGATTTTTTTCAACACATTTCTAAACATAATAGTTTAAATAACTAATTTTAGATTTTTTTCTAAAATGTAATTATGTTTATTTGAAGTGCAATTTTTATGATAATTAGGCGAACTAAGCAAGTTAGGGTAATTAGGCAGGTCTTTGGAAAATAGTGTTATCCAAAATGTTTGTATTAATCATAATATTGACCCTAAAATGTTTTTTTAAAATGGATAATAAAACAAGACTTTCTCCAAAAGAAAAAAATATAATCAGAAATGCTGTAAAAAATTCCTTAATCTGTTATATATCACTTGAAAAAAAATTCAATTATAATCAAATATAATACTTGTATATTTTGTTCAGTTGTTACTTTGATTAGTTCTACTGAATAAAAGGCAACTAAATAATTGTAAATGTGAAATGTACTGTTTAATAGTTTACTAAACATCAACTTTAAATCTGAGGAAGCATCACTGTTTTTGTGTACCAACATTACTACCAGAAAAAAAAATCATGAAAAAGAAACAATTTCAGACGTACCTGTTTTTGAGGACACTGACCAGAATTCTGCATTCATTTCTGCTGCAATCTTTACGGCGTCCCTCTCGGTCCTCTGGCACTCTTCTGTAGACTTCACAGAAACACAGCAGGGACTCTTTAATAGCTTCTGCAGGTCTTATGTGTACATTTGCATGCATGCTTACAAGGACTGTTCTCACCAGGAGGTCTCTTTTTGTGCCAACCAAGAAAACAAAACAGGAGTCTGGTTCATTTTCCCGCACCGCCTCTAACAACCACTGTCTGTGTAACAAATGAACAACAACAACAAAAAAGGTGCATTTTGATGTAATAGAAAACATTCTTAGATTATAACATAATTGACAGAGTTTAGGCAAAAATATTCCGACTGTTTTCCTTATTTACAAAAACACAGAAAGTAATCCAAGATTGCAAGAACCAATAAAACAACTTCATATGTGTAGAGAAAATGCAGGACTATGTGTGGAATTAAACTGGTGACTTAAATAAACGCTACATAAAAAAACAAATCAGACACAGTGGAGCATAAACAATTAAGCAATGGGTAACCATTGAAACAAAATAGCAATGGAAACAAAGGGTATGTTTACGCAACAATGGTGTAGGGAAAAAAAGCTGTTTTAAATAAATATTTGAATATATATTTAGTTTATCCTGATATACTGCTGGTGTTAATATTAAGGTATGAATCATTCATTCATTTTCCTTCAGCTTAGTCCCTTTATTCATCAGGGGTCACCACAGCGGAATGAACCGCAAACTTATCCAACATATGTTTTACGAAGCAGATCGCATTCCAGCTGCAACCCAGTACTGGGAAACATCCATACACAATCAAGTTCAAGTTGCTTTATTGGCATGGCATTTAATACAGTATTGCCAAAGCATTTCAAATATGTCATATATTAACATCATCAAATAAAAAAATTACAGTAAATTAAAAAATAAATGACAAAAAACAGATAATACAATTTTCACAAATACAATAATAATACTAAAAAGTCTAGATTATTTAAATAAGACACATGAATTTACATCAACCGTTACTTATGATGTGTAGGGTGTATACATATTTTGCAGTTTAGATGTCAGTTCATCCTCTTTGAGTACATGGTGAAGTTTTTTTGATACATTTAAATAAAAAAAATGAATGAATTAATGTTTCAAATTGGGGGAAAATTTTTCACACATATACACTAGGGCCAATTTAGCTTTTAGTCAATTCACCTATAGCGCATGTTTTTGGACAGTGGGGGAAACCGGAGTACCTGGCGAAACCCATGTGAACAGGGAAGAACATGCAAACTCCACACAGGAATGCCAACTGACCCAGCCGGGACTCGAACCAGCAACCTTCTTGCTGTGAGGTGACATTGCTAACCACTGAGTTACTGTGTCACCATGTACTAAAATCAATATTTAGAAATCATATATTATTCCCTTTTTTTAAATATCTGTTTACATTTCCACTCTCCAAACATGTACTTACTTTGTGTTTTCCAAGGTCTTAATATCCGCCATGTCAAAGACAGTGATAATAACTTTTGAATAGAAACAAAAACATAAAACATTAGTGTGAAAACAGACTCTGATCTGGAGAATTCAAAGACATACAGTTCTGCATTTTACCTTGAGCTCCTCTGTAATATGCTGATGCAATGCATTTAAACTTTTCTTGACCAGCGGTGTCCCATCTACAAATATTCCGAAGTGCAAAACAAATATAAACCACAAAAAATTCAATTGAACAAACATGTTATTTAAATCATTTAAACAAAACACACACATTTGAAGAGAAAAAGGCAGCCCAGACATCTCAAATCTCTCGATCTCAAAATCAACACCTATAGTAGCCTTATAGTCTCTCTCAAACACGTCTTTACAGAACCTGTGAAATAAAAAAAACACAGAAAAAACCTTCATATCCATTAAATATACAACATGTATCATTTCAAGAAAACCTTTGTACACCTTACCTGTTTATTAAGCATGTCTTTCCCACATTGAGATCTCCAACCACTACTGCCTTTGACATCTTAAACCTGTCATACCTAGTAGATAATAAGAAAACACATACAGTATAGGTATGTAATAATATTTGGTAGTATAACAATTTAAAATGAAACAAATTATAACATTATTTAACCCATTAACTGTGTACACAAATTTGGATTCCCTCTTAAAAATGATCAGCAAGAAGGTTGCTGTTTCGAGCCTTGGCTGGGTCAGTTGGCGTTTCTCTGTGGAGTTTGCATGTTCTCCCCATGTTCGTGTGGGTTTCCTCCGGGTGCTCCGGTTTCCCCCACATGCCCAAAGACATGTGGTGTAGGTGAATTGGGTAGGCTAAAATTGGCCATAGTGTTTGTGTGTGAATGAGTGAATGTGAGAGTATGGATGCTTCCCAGTGATGAGTTGCAGCTGGAAGGGCATCCGTTGCATAAAACATATGCTGGATAAGTTGGTGGTCCATTTTGCTGTGGCGACCCCAGATTAATAAAGGGATTAAGCCAAAAAGAAAATGAATGAATGAATTTGAAAATTATTCTTCATTTATTTTTCCTTCGGCTTAGTCCCTTATTTATCAGGGGTTACCACAGCAGAATGAACTGCCAAGTAATGTTTATATGTTTTTTAGAGCGAATACCCTTCCAGTTGCAACCCATCACTGGGAAACATCCATACACTCTCATTCACACTCATTTATACACTACGGACAACTTTAGCTTACCCAATTCACCTATACAACACATCTTTGGACTTGTGGGGGAATCCGGAGCCTCAACCTAGTACTGGGAAACACTCATACACAGTCTCACATTCACATATGCACTCATACACCACGGCCAATTTAGTTAACCTAATTCACCTGTACAACATGTCTTTGGACTGTGGGGGAATCCAGAGCACAAAAACAGGGAGAACATGCAAACTCCACACAAAAATGGCAACTGGTCCAGCTGGAACTCGAACCAGCAACCTTCTTGCTGTGAGGTGACAGTGCTAACCACTGAGCTACCGTGTTGCCCCACTTGAAAATGATATATGATATAATCATATAAAGTTTGTCGAGATAAGTCGAGGTTAAGTAAAATAATTTTTAAAAATAACACAAAAACGTCCCACCTATTAAACAGTGACAGTTAGGAGGTTACTTCAAAACTATGCAATACATTTATTAATAAATATACAGTATATAACTGTTCAATTAAAAGTGTGAAATTCTGTAAATTCCATTATGTTGTAATAATGTATAATTAATTTTATAATAATCATTTGAAAAAAACATTTATAATTATGTAATCATATAATAATTACAGTACTGTTATTACATAATTATATGTATAACTAAATTTACTAATTATATTTTATACATTATTTTATTATTCTTGAATTGTTTTTATTAAAAATGTACTACATATGTATATCTACCCTTGCAGACGAGTCGTCCGATCTTGGCAAGCCACCTTGGCTTCTACATTCCAGTCATCCTTCATTTGCAGGCAAGCTTGTGGATTATAACACTACAGAATAATAAAACAGAATCAACATAATACAACATCAAAAAAATAGATAGCTTTAGCCATTTAGTGAATAAAGCTAGCATTTTTGTCTTGTTTGACGTAGTATCTCTCTATTTCAATACTTTCAGAAAGTGTACATTTGTCCTTAATTTAACTCAACTGCAAAAACTAGTATACGAAGCAGCTGTGCACCGCCTTTTCATTTCAGCAGAATTAGCTGCAGTCCTGTGATTCTGAAAGATTGGTCTGCAGTGAAGTTCCTCTATGGATGTCACACGTTCTCAATATACTAATCTGATGAACTCAATACAGTGTACAGAACATTTGCTGAATTTCCTGTACTACAACCTGTAATGCGTTGTGAATCAGCTGAGATGATTTTACTTTTCTCATACACCAATGTAGCTTACTTGAAGACAACTTTTAAGGCAAAGGTCAACTAAAAAGAATCATTTGCTGTTAATTTACACTTTAATTTATATTTTCATTTGTAATATACAAATTATAATTCATCTAAGTAAAGAGATAAGTAGAGCATTAAGTAGAGCATTAAAGATATGGTCCTTGGTAAAGTCAATGAATACTGGCACTAAATAATAATAATAATAATAAAACTAAAACTGTATACCTGTAGCTCATATGGATTCATTGAGGTTTTATTAAATTTATATGATAGGTCTGTGCAAGAAACTAAACATAGTTTGCAACATTATTACTCTTTTCCACAGCCTCTGCAAATGGTCGCGAGTCATATGCAACAGGATGATTCGTAAACGTGTCTAGGACTGTTTGCTGAGGCTGTTGATTGAAGAACATGTATTAAATAATGTTTACGTTTATTTACACATAATGATTGTTTCTCTTCATAAGACCTCAATGGAACATCAGGAGTCACAGATATTCATTTTGTTTGGCCTAAATTTGTTTTGACTTTCAAAACATCAGTAGCCAAGCTATTGGCTTGCATTTTATGCATCAACAAAAACCGTGATTGCAGACAAAAACCTTCTTTAACGATCTACTGAAGATAAAATACATCCTGGATGGCATAAGGTTGAGTCTGTTCATTGTAAATTGTGATGTTTAAGGGATAGTTTACCAAAAATGAAAAATTCTGTCATATTATATATCATATTTACTCATCCTCCACTTGTTTAAAATCTGTTTGAGGTTCTTTCTTCTGCTGAACACTAATAAGGAAGATATTCTGAAAAATATAGGAAAAACAGAAATTGTTTTATCCATAGTAGGACCAGAATGACTTTAAATGTCAATGTCTTTTACAACATTCTTGAGCATATCCTCCTTGTGAACAACAGAAAAAATAAATCATAAATGTTTAGATTAGAACCACTTGAGTGTAAGAAATGTTCAGTTTGTGGTGAACTATCCCTTTCAATACTCAATAATAAAATAAAAATGACACAACTAAGTTAGACTTTAGCATGATGTGCACCTTTGGAAATGCGGATATGATCCTGTCTCTGCTGACAGGTGGACTGAACTGCATTGTCTTGTCAGCAAGTTGTCCAGAAAAAAATCGCCTGTAAAAGAAACGCAAAGATCAGACCTACTGTAAATGTTTACTCTGCACATTTACAGTACCTAATGTTACTACTTGATACAGCATTCTTAATATAGTAGGGCAGAGAGAGAGATACACTTTGGTACATAAGTTTGAGGAAAGTTGTTTAATGTTAGTTTATACAGAAGACGAGGGAAATTGTTTTTAATTAAATGATTAGTTAATCCTCCGTGAACAAGCAGAGCTGCGTTCGTATTACGGGCATGACAACACAGAAAAGCACTGTAACGGCGCAGTCAGGGACTATTTCAGCCACAATTATTGTAAAACATTGCTAATGTTCGGTTTTGAGCATTATTTCTAACTAGGATTGTGTATATTAAAGCAGTCTCGTACTCACGGATGTTTCTGAAGCGCAGTTTATTCCTGCTGAATGCGCGTTCACTCTCCGCATCAAATCCTCCCTTCTTCGCCATGGCAACCAGGAGCCGGAACTCGTCGTCACGTGGTGCAGGAGATACGCATGGCAAAATGCCAAAATGACATTTTTCACATAATCGACGCACTTTGCGTAAAATCAAGTATATGAATGTATGTCAAGCTAATATTGACATTATATAGTTGCCATTGATATAAATGCTAAAAAGCTTATTTTGATAGAAATATATAGCATGCAGGGCGCAGTAGATAGTGCTGTCGCCTCACAGAAGGTCGCTGATTCGAGCCTCGGCTGGGTCAGTTGGCCTTTCTGTGTGGAGTTTGCATTTTTTCCTGCCTTAAAATAGGTAAGCTAAATTGTCCATAGTTTATGTGTGTGAATGGATGTTTCCCAGAGATGGGTTGCAGCTAGAAGGGCATCTACTGTGTAAAACATATGCTAGATAAGTTGGCGGTTCATTCTGCTGTGGCGACCCCAGATTAATAAAAGGACTAAGATGAAAAGAATAAATGAATATATAGCATGCATATATAGATGTATATGTGTGTGTATGTATATATATATATATATATATATATATATATATATATATATATATATATATATATATATATATATATATATATATATATATATATATATATATATATATATATGTAATAACTATGTAAAATTTACCAATTACAGTAGAATTTTGTATTAATCCATAAATAAAGTAATTATAAATGTTTGTATTCTTCAAATGATTATTATAAAGTTAATTCTATTTGCTGTGTATGCGTGGGTTTCCTCAGGGTGCTCTGGTTTCTCCCACAGTCCAAAAACATGCGCTACAGGTAAATTGGGTTGGCTAAATTGTCCGTAGTGTATGAGTGTGAATAGGTGTGTATGGATGTTTTCCTGAGATGGGTTGCGGCTGGAGATCCTTTGCGTTAAACATGTGGTGGATAAGTTGGCGGTCCATTCCGCTGTGGCGACCCCAGATTAATAAAGGGATTAAGCCAACAAGAAAATGAATGAATGAATAATTGATTATAATTGGTTTATTAAATTTTACATTAGTGATGTGTCTATTGTTTTTAAACAAGTGAAAAAAATGTTTCACTGTCATTCAACATAAAAGATACAATTGGGCAAAGTTATTAGTCGTCCTGTGAAATTAAAATTTTTTAAATAAAATTTTCCAGCTGTATAATCGAGAGAATAATTTCTGCAAAATAAAATCATAATGGTTTGCAACCACATAAGGGTGAGTAAATAGTAATAGTAAATGTTCTGTTATATTGTAAATTCTTGCTTATGAATGAACAGAATCTACAGGTTTTAATGAAAGTGTCAAAGTATAAACTGAATATTTATTTAAATGAACATTCATTATGAATTAAAGTACCATTAAATAATTTGTTCTAAATATCCCTGGCATGATTTTACTGCATAAAGCATCTTAAATGCTATTCATTATTAAATGCTAGCACAATTTTGTAAAAATAAATAGTCAAAATACATATTTTAAATTATTACAAACTCTTATATGACAAATGGACATGGTGGTTTTAGTGGCTATGTATAAAGATCAATGACTGATTTTATGTCTACTCTGTGATCCTTAAATATATTATTTTATTATGTCATCAAATGATTATTTTTACAAACATGACTGACAAGATTATTTTTGGTTTAAAAACTGTCAGTTTAAAAAAAAATCATTTTAAAGCTAAATCATAATTTCTATTGCTTTGATGCTTGAGTAATGGAAACAAAAAGTGAAAAATATGCTAACAACTGTACACAACACGTCACAATTTGTCAACAGCACTTCCACGTATTTGTGTGGGCAGTCAAAGTACAGGCTTTGGATTAGTACAATATTTATTTTACCACTTATAACATTAGCATGTTTGGATGCAAAATAACAAAAACGAGGGAATAAAAACAACAACTGCTAGTTCAGATGATTGCTTAGAGTTATTAGATATGTACTATAACGGTCAAAAGTTTATGGGTCAGTAGGATTTTTAAATGTTTTAAAATAAGCTTCTTCTGTTCACCAAGGCTGCATTTATTTAATCAAAAATATAGTACAAACAGTAAAATTGTGAAATGGTATTGCACTGTAAAATAACTGAAGAAGAAGTTTATCATCTAATTTAATAATTTATTCCAGTGATTTTAAAGATGATTTTTCAGCTTCATTACTTCAGTCTTGAGAGTCACATGATCCTTCAGAAACAATAAATAATTTCAGCTGAAACTACATACAATAAGAAGGAAGTTATTTAAAGTTTTAATAAATATTGAACAATTTAACATTTAATAAATGTCGCCTTCATGAACAGAATACTTTTCTTCAAATCAAACACATGAAAAAAAACTGACCCCAAACTTTTCACCGGAAGTATACTGCACAAAATTTCATTTAATTTTGGATGCGATTCATTGTTTGATAGAACAAATTTTACAGTTGAAGTCAGAATTATTCACCCCCTTTGATTTTCTTTTTATATTTTTTTTATTTGTCTGATAATATTGTTTCTTCTGGAGAAAGTCTTATTTGTTTTATTTCAGCGAAAGCAGTTTTAAATTTTTTAAACACTGTTTGAAGGTCAAAATTATTAGCTCCTTTAAGCTAGCTATTTTTTTCAATAGTCTAAGTTTAAAAAAGAACAAACCATCATTATACAATAACTTGCCTAATTACCCTAACCTGCTAATCCAATTCAGTGTCTTGAAAAATATTTTGTAAAATATTATTTACTGTCATCATGGCAAAGATAAAAGAAATGAGTGTGTTGAAAATCTTCCCCCCGTTAAACAGAAATTGAGGAAAAAATAAACAGGGGGGGCTAATAATTCAGGAAGCTAATAATTCTGACTCCAATTGTACGTATAATTTCCTAATTTCACAGTTTATGTCTAATAATTTAGCGCCCGTTATTCTGGATGATCGCAGGGTGGCAGCAAACCTCCTTTAACTGTTTACTGCTGTGTCATGCCAAGCAAGTTAGATTGCGCTCTTCGTGAACAGCGCTTCGGGGATGGTTTTTCACCACACCTCAAGTGATTTTTCGTAGTAAGTTTTTTTCTTTCACGTGTTATTGTAAAATAAACACGAGGACCGTCATTTTCACATTACATGAACAATTGTAGATCAGCAGTGCCAGCGGGCCTGGCTTTTAACAGCCCTTTTTATGGATACCAAAGGTCAAAGGTAACTAGGTTGAAAGGCTCAGTTTGGCCTACAGTCTTATTCCATTTCACACATATCAATAATGATGGACAATATGTGAAGCTGAAGTGAATCATTTCTAATTGATCCTCCTATCTGTGTTGGGATGTCGTTTTCAGGACAGGGTCTTCTGTTTCGGGTGTGTTTATTGTTATGGATGTGTTCAGTGAACTCAAACTTGACCTCTTTTTCAACTGAAATTACTCGAGAATGCAGGCTGCGTTCAGTTGAACTTGTTAACTTGTTTGTTTTCATGTTTGTTGTTACCTAACTAGTAAAGGGCAACAAATGTGGTGATGTAATAATCTGTGCATCTGGCAGATTCAATGGAATAAAAAGACAATCAGATGTCTTGAAGATATTAACAACACCCATGTGTACTTCTGTACAGCTCCAACACATAATTGGAGACAGAAGTTGTCTTTTTCTCACACGCCTGTTTTTATATATGATAAACCAATGTGAGAGAATAGCTGTTGGTTAAGGGTTTTTAATATATTATTAATATTAATTAGCCTACACATTACAACATTGTTTTTTTTTTTATTAATTATAGTGTCCTACGTTTGAAACAATAATACTCTGTTGAAGTTATAAGAAAGTTAAATAAAAAATGTAGTATTAAAAACAATTTGCATTAGTCAATTTATAAACATTTATTCATTATTTTTTTTCCCTTGGCTTAATCCCTTTATTAATCTGGAGTCACAACAGCGGAATGAAATGGCAACTTATCCAGCACATGTTTTAAACAGCAGATGCCCTTCCAGCTGCAACCCATCACTGGGAAACATCCACACATCCATACACACTAAAGCTGCGGTCACACTAGAGTTTGTGCGTTTAAAATTCTGTCGTACGGCGCTGCGAAAAGGGGTGGGATTAAACAAGATGATTAGACATTAAAAAAGAGAGCGATTTGCTCCATATTTTAAATTTCTGTCCAGAGAGGTCATGTTTTGATCCTCGATTGGTCTCACGCAGTCACGTGATGCGATTTTGCAGGTCAGAGTTCACCAAGCTTGAACTTTGCACCGCAGCAACCCGCGAAACTTTATGCATGACCTTGCATTTCCGGTCTGAATCATTCGCGTGCGTATGAATGGAAGTCTATGGGGAGAAAAGCCCAGTGTGACCGCAGCTTTAATCACACTCATACACTACGGACAATTTAGCTTATCCAATTCACCTATAGCGCATGTCTTTTGGACTTATGGGGGTAACTGGAGCACCTGGAGGAGACACAGGGAGAACATACAAACTTCACACAGAAATGCCAACTGACCCAGCCAAGGCTTGAACCAGCAACCTTCTTGCTCTGAGGTGAACGTGCTATCTACTGCGCCACCGTGACACCCGCATAAGTTAATTAATAAACAATATACAAATATATTGACCGTATGGAAACATAATAATTATCGTCAATATTATAGAGTATTTGATATTAAGTCACTTAAGGGTAACTCACAGCAAGAGGGTCACTAGTTTGAGTCCCGGCTCAGTTGGCATTTCTGTGTGGAGTTTGCATGTTCTTCCCGTGTTGGCGTGGGTTTCCTTCAGGTGCTTCAGTTTCCTCCACAGTCCAAAGAGATGCGCTAAAAGGGAATTGGATGAACTAAATTTACTGTAGTGAATGTGAGTGGGTATGGGTGTTTCCCAGTACTGGGTTGCAGCTGGTAGGGCATCAGCTGCGTAAAACATATGCTGGAATAGTTGCCGGGTCCTAGGAGCATTCTGTAAGTGTACTGTAGGTGGATAGATGGATTAAAAGGTAACATGACAACCTAATATTAGCAGATTAAAATATAAATCAATAATGCACACACACACACACACACACACACACACACACACACACACACACACATACACATTTAAAACCAGAAGTTTACATACACTCTAAAAAAAGAAAAATAACCTTTTTTTATGTCTGATGGTAAATCATACTAAACGTTTACTATTTTAGATCTGTTAGGATTACCTAAATCATTTACATTGCTAAATGCCAGAATAATGAGAGAATTTTGTTTTCCGATTTTTTTGTTAATTTCCAGACAGTTTACATACATACATTTCCTTGGTATTTTTTTAGCTTTGCTTTTAAACTGTATAACTTTTGGTCAGATGTTTTGGGTATCCTTCCACAAGCTTTTCACAATAGTTCGAAGGAATTTTGGCCCATTCCTCCTGACAGAGTTGGTGTAACTGAGTCCAGTGTTTCCACAAGGATTTTTTTCTAGCTGTGGCGGCAGACCTTTTTTACTCGGCTCTATCAACTACCTGGCGTTATTTCAATGACAAATGTCGTGAGCGCAGTATAACAAGTCACAATCACATTCATGTAGGGCTGGGCGATTTGGCAAAAAAATTAAATCTAGATTTTTTATAAAGTTTGACCGATTCACGATTTCGATTTTTAAATTTTTTTTATTTATTGTGTTACTAGTCTTCTCAACATTACAACAACATGACTGAAGTAACTTTCTCTTTATAAGTAACTTGAAAAACCATCTGGTTAAGGAACACTGTATTTTTAATGGCCATGTCATACAAAAATCGGTCAAGGTGTAAATAAATGTAAAACAAATTCACGAGTTAAATAGTGTTGCTGAAGATTTGAATAAGAAATATTTGTGTAAATATTGCACGTGCAGGAATACAGAGGTATTTTTTGCAAGTTTTGCTGAGCCTGAAGATTGGCTGTCAGCTCGGCTTTGACTTTGTCTTCTTCTGATTGAATGACAGGTTGTAATGCTGCTGCCTTTTTCTTTAAAAGATACAGTGGAAGAAAAGGACTGAACATGGAAACTGTAAAGCCTAATTTAACTCTTGTGTCCTAATTTAACAAATGTGTGAAATTGTGGACGTATAGCAGGAGCAAATATAAGTACCAGATGTGTGTCCAATATAAAATAATATATTTAATCTATTTTTCTCTTTCCCCCTTTTAAATACCGATCATTTGATGCGTTTTGCTCCACTCTCTGTATTATGCTGCCTGATCTGTCTGGTTTTCAACTAGGTCCACTAAATGACGTTATGGGGGCGGGTACTTTCATTTTCACTGCTACAGCCGATCACCTCTGCTCGTGTTCAAAACAAAAGCTCGGTGCGGTTTTTCACATGGCAGGTTCTTACGTCCTTCATACATGTTGAGATGGAGGTTATCAACTTGATGAGGGAATATGTCCTGACAATTCACACAGACGTGACTCAGACTAATGCAACAAGTAAAATCCTACATGTCTTCACGCTTTAACAGGCAGTCAAGCAGGTCGCACACCAGAAGCACATGACAGTTTAAACTATCACACACCAAACGCGCACATTCGCATGATATTTAACATGAAATGAATCAGATGGCGTTCTGTGGCGCGGCTGTGTGTGTATAGAAACCTGTTTAGAATTCTAAAATCCATGGTGCTGCGGAGCGCGTCACCAAGAGGCGCTTCTGGTGTGCTTCCTGCTATATACAGAGAGTGAACCAAAGCGCATTGGTGCCATTAATGTATTAAATGTATACATTTTTTAAAAATCGCGATTCTCGATTTATTATAAAATTAAATCGTCGTCAAAACGTGAATTCGATTTAATCGGAAAAATCGCCCAGCCCTACATTCATGTTATAGCCTACGAGCATGCAAATCTCTTTGCTTGCGCGCCGATTTTCTCTGATCGTGCACAAAACTTCTTGCACACCCTCAAATATATGCTGCTCAAGTGCAGATCTTCTTGTGCGCTCTCAAATAAACACTGCTGAGGTGCAATTTAGTGCGTTTATGTAACAATGTCTCCAACATTTATTAGATTTGCTAGGAATATTTATCTAATGTCTCCAATAGACCTACAGAGCCGTAATAATGCATCCTAAAGTAAAGTAAAATGGCTATACGTCATGTTTGCTTGCCTCACGCATCACACAGTCATCACAGTCAGTCAGCCAGCCAGTCAGTCAGTCAGCTCGTAACCTTAGAGGGTTAAACAAATGACGCACAGCACTACTACGGTTACAGAAAAGTTTGTGCTGTTATAATTCATATACTTTTTAATACGTTTTGATGCGATTATCAACCGCTATTAAAAAACACGACTGAATGTTTTGAATGGAAAGCTGTAATGTAGCCGTGGCGGGATAAATTTTGGCATGGCACCCCGCTATGGATGAATGAATGTAGCGGAAACCATGGAGTTAGATTTGTAGGCTGTCTTGCTTACACAAGCTTTTGCAGCTCTATAGGATTGAGATCAGGGCTTTATGATGGCCACTCCAAAACATTCACTCTGTTGTCCTTAAAGCACATTTTAGCTAATCTGGCAGTATGCTTAGGGTCATGGTCTGTTTAGAAGACCCATTTGTGGCCAAGTTTTAATTTCCTGGCTGATGTCTTGCGATGTTGCTTCAGTATTTCTACATAATGTTCGTTCTTCATGATGTCATCTATGCTGTGAAGTGGACCAGTCCCTCCTGCAGCAAAACAGCCCGACAACATGATGCCCATACTTCACAGTTGCGAGGGTGTTCATAGGCTTGTAAGCTTTCCCCTTTGTCCTCCAAATGTAACGCTGGTAATTATGGCCAAACAGTTCAATCTTAGTTCCATCAAACCACAGGACATTCATTCATTCATTTTCTTGTTGGCTTAGTCCCTTTATTAAAAAAAAATAAAGGGACGCCACAGCAAAATGTAATGCCAACTTATCCAGCAAATTTTTACGCACCAGATGCCCTTCCAGCCGCAACCCATCTCTGGGAAACATCCACACACACATTCACACAGACACACTCATACATTACGGACAATTTAGCCTACCCAATTCACCTGTACCGCATGTCTTTGGACTGTGGGGAAAACCGAAGCACCCGGAGGAAACCCATGGGAATGCAGGGAGAACATGCAAACTCACAGAAACGCCCCAGCGACCTTCTTGCTGTGAGGCGACAGCACTACCTACTGCGCCACAGCTTCGCCCTACCACAGGACATGTCTAAAAAATTATTCTTTTTCTCAGTGTAATTTAGCAAATTGTAATCTGGCTTTTTTGCTGATTCTGGCTTGTTAATTTTCCCAAGTTTTTACAAAAGGAAGCAGTGTGTTTGAGGTTTTCCTTAAACACTATTCTACAGTTGTGCCTCCAATTAACTCAAATCTTGTCAATTAGCCAATCAGAAACTTCCAAAACCTTGACACCATCATCTGAGCTTTTTCAGAGGCATAATAATCGTACTGTTGGTAAACTTGACTTTCAAGAAAAGTTCTAACAATTTCTCCATTAATATCTCTCATTATTCTGCTATTAAGCAAAACAGAAACAAATGTGATAATCCTAACGTACCTAAAAGAGAAAAAGTTAAGTGATATTAACGTTTTTTTTTTTTTTAAATGGTTATGTGCTTTTTTACACAGTGTACGTAAACTTCTGGTTTCAACTCTATATAGTAGGGTTGCACAGGTTACCAGTATGGTAGTATCACAATACTAATTCTCCAAAATACTGCCGGTGCCACTGTAGTTTGTAAATGATTGTATCATCATTAATGGTTTATACACAATAGATAATGTTGCATGTAAAATAGTCACTAAATTGCTCACACATTTACCAGTTTATTTTAATAGTCTAAGGAGCCCTTTAAGGTTGCAAAACTGTGTAGAATCTTTTATGGTAGCCTATTACATGTTTTGATGAAAAACCTAAAATAGCAACAGGAAACTTGAAACAAGTTTTGACCACTTTATATAGCCTAATTTTGTTGGAAAAAATGCTCTTTTGTAACAAAATGAATTCTGTATAATTTGTATCTTTATTTTAATGTTTTTTTTTGGTCAGTTATCTACAAAAATAAAATTTAAAAAAATTATAAATTTGAGGTGAAATGGTGTGCAAATAATTCTTTTTAGCCTAAAGGGGTTTATGAATTACATTCAAGTAGGCCTACTATAATATAAAATATAGTATTTCTCACAATTTTTTTTATAATTTGAGTGATGAATTACGGTATTACAGTAGTACTTGGTATTGTTATCCTTCAGCTGGTATAGTATTGTAAGATTAATTAATGGTATCGTGACAACCCTACTATATATTTAAATATTTTTTATTATTTCTATAAAAACTATATCATTTATATGTATCATTGATGTTTTATTGACATCAGTGTTTATTTATTATGGTTTATTTTATTCATATTAATACATCATGCTAGTTACGTTTTATTATCATTCATTAAAAAAAATCTAATTCTAGGTTGGTTATATGTATAGTAAAAAACAACTTTATTGCAGAAAAGTGAACGTAATAAATAAAAAACATCCACTGAGAATAGTCTAATTTAAACTCAAGTGTATAATAAGGTTAAGAAAAGAGCACTTTGTTGTCATGGTAATATAGTTAGAATGCTTAAGAATCTTAAAATAGGATGCAAAATAATTCTGCCAAATATTGTGAAACATGACCAACAAGTTACACGTCTACAGTAATATCAGAGTGACGGATGACATTCATCCCTGAGAATGATTTGGACGATGAATCCAATTTGCTGTGAAGACTGTACAGCCTGAAACCGCTGTTTACCATTGTGAGGAATGAGATTAAGTCGAGTGCCTTCCTTCTCTGTCTCTGCGGTGTGTCCTTCCCTGCTGCTCATGACAGTCACAAGGTCTTCCATCGGCCAGCCTCCCGCTCGCCGTTACTGTAGCATTCATCTGAGGGTTTTTTTTCTTCAGTTTTTCAGGACAAATGTACTCTTTCAGTTACCCACAGCTGATGCGTTTGCCAATTTATACCACAATCTCAATGGGAGAAAACTGTCAGACACATCATTTTCCATCTCATTTGTGTGACTTTACTCGTGTACTTTACACTTTTACTAATCTTCATCAGCTCAAATGTGAAGTTTAGTGTCACAAAGGTCGTTTACAGAGATCTAAACTTCCCGCAGACTTCATTAACACTTACACTAGTGACAGACGTGTGATTTGCTGTTTTGTTCTCAGCAAAGCAAGTGTCAAATACAGGATGCAGAGTTTAGAATATTTATATTTTAACGGGAGCCACGGGTATTAAGAATTGTTTGGTGTAATATCACTTTATACTACAGGGGCTGTTAAATGCTTGATTCTGATTGGTTGATGAACACTTTATGGTGCGCTGTAATAAAAAATGCTGAGTTCCACATAATTCTTTTATGTTGACCCAACTCAAATCGATTAAGTTAACTTAATTGTTTGTACAAATTTAAGCGGATTTCGCATAAAATGTAAGACTCCTTATGAGAAAACCGATGGTATGATGGTAAATGCATCAGGGTTAAGATATACGATTGAGATATTTCTTAACTCTGTCATTTTTTCTTGTGTGTTTGCTTTGTTATAGAGAGGAAACAACACTGCACATATTGGCATATTCATCTAAACGCCAGTGGATGGATTCTTAAGCAGTATATCACTGCAGAGGTATTTCCAACTTCTTTTTAATTCAGATCAGACAACAAAAGTACTTCTTTATATGTAGCATGTAAACTGTTATTAACTGTGTTTAAATTAAATATTAATTTTTGAATAAACCACTAAGTGAATCTAATGACTTGAGCTGTTTGTATGCTGAAGTACTCAAGCTTGGCCTAACAAAGGGCTTTTTAAAATACATAAAATGAAAATTACAAAACGCTTGTTTCTGCCATGGGATAGTGCAAGTTTTGACAATTCTGACTTGTTTTTACCTGAATTCTGAGTTTTACATCTTGCATTTTCCCCCAGAACTGTGGCTTTATTACTTGCTATTTTCACTCTTAGTTTTCAACTTATCTTATGATTCTCAGAATTGCAACATGTGAACTCATAATTATGATATACGAACTTGCTATTCTCAGAAAAATAAGCTCATAATAGTGGTACTATCACAGCAGCGATGGTTCCAGGAAATAATTTTTCCAGTATTTTTTCCCTGTGGAAAAAAGAAATTATGAACCAAGTCATGAACCAAACCAGCACGCTTCGATGTGTCACAAGTTTAATTTAAAGAAAAAAAATGTATATATATCATTTATTTATTTTATTTTTAGCTTAGTCCCTATTAATCAGGGGTCACCACATCACAATGAACCATTAACTTAACCAGCTTGTTTTATGCAGCGGATGCCTTTCCAGCTGCAACCCAGTACTGGGAAACACTCATACACTCTCACTCACACACATAAACTATGGACAGTTTAGCTTACCCGATCCCTACATGTCTTTGGACTGTGGGGGAAACCGGAGCACC